AGGTTTTGGCCCCTCTGCTACATCCGCACACGCTACATCTGGACCTCCCCGCCGCTACCGTACTGTTGTACGGCCCCCCCGGCAGCGGCCGCCGTACCGCCGCCCGCGCCGCCGCTACCGCACTGGGCCTCCACTTCCTCTCCGTTTCCTGTCACGAGCTGCAGCCGCCTCCCGGGTCTGTGGAGAGCTCCCGAGGGGGCGGGGCGGCGGGGGCGCTGAGGGCGGTGCTGGAGGCGGCGGAGCGGTTCGCGCCGTGTGTGGTGCTGCTGCAGGTCGGGGGGGTCGGGTTGGGGTGGGGGGCCGCCGGGGGTGCGGGGAGCCCTTTGAGGTGCGGTGTGTGTGTGTGTGTGTGCGGGGCGGGGCGGGGGATGTTTCAGTGGGGGGAAAGCTATTGCGAGGTGAGGTGGGTGTTAGGTGTTAAGGGCTGTGGTGGTGGTGGTGGTGGTGGTGGTGGTGGATGCGTGAGGGGCTCAGCCCACAACCCGCTGTGTTATGTGATGGGAAATAAGAGGGACCCCCCCTGTACATGGGGCTTAGGGTTTTGTGATTGCGATGGGCTCGTCGGAATGTGTGCTGTGGTGCGGTGCGGTTCCGTACAACAGGATTTGGAGGCGCTGGCGGGCAGCCGCGGGGCGGCCGAAGCGTCAGCTGGCGGCGGCGGGGGCGGCGCCGCAGCCACCGCCGCGCAACGCTGTGCTGCCGTACTAACGGAGGTGGCGGAGCGGAGCGGCACGTCGGCTGCCAGAGCGGCGGTACTGGCACGCGGCAGTACTGGCGTCGCCGCCGCCGCTACTACTGCCGCCACCGCCGCCGCCGGGGCCATCCCTGGGTGGGTGCCGTCCGGTGACGGGGGTGGGGGGCTGTATCGTACGTACTTGAAAAGAAATAAATACTATTTAAACTTTTAAACATAAATATTTGAATGCTGGGTTGTGGGATGGCGCACAATAGAGCGCTGCTGTCCGGCGGGATCATATTTGGATCTTCTTTCGTATCTTTGCGCCGTACTTTCCTTTTCATGGCCCCGCCCGATAATGATAGTCCGCGTGATGACGTCATCAATCTATTTCGTACATTCTCCACTTACCATTCCCTCCTCCCCCCGCCCCTTACCCTACCGCCCATACACCCCGCATCCATCCGGGGTACGTACGGCTTCCGCTGTGCCCCCAGCAGCTCCGGACCCGCTCCTCCCGTGTCACCGGGTTTCGTTGCCGTACTGGCCACCGCCACCTCCCTGGAGGATATTCCCCTCCCCCTAGGCCGCTGCTTCACCCACACAGTGCCAGTGGGGGCACCGGCGGCGGGGGAGAGGAGGCAGCTGCTGAAGCACCTGGTGGCGGCAGCGGCGGCGGCGGTGGCGGAGGCGGGGACGAGCATGGCGGAAAGTACGACGGTGTTTACGGCAGCGGCGGTGGAGGCGGCCGTGGATTCTGTGGTGGCTCAGACGGCGGGGTTGTTGCCTCGGGAGTTGTGTGGTGTGGCGGCGGATGCGGCGGCGGCGGCTCTAGGTCGGGTGGTGATGGTGGGGGAGGGAGGCCTGACGGCGGCAGGTGTGGCGGCGGCGGGGCCTGCAGGATTGGATCCGGATCACGACTTGCGAGCGGCTTTGGATCGCATAAAAGCGAGAACGGCGGTTGAGGTGAGTGCGTGTATATGCGCCTATGTAAGTATGTATGTATGTAAGTATGTATGTATGTATGTGCACGTGCAGGCAGATGGAGCTGCAGAAAGGTTTCAGAGGTGGTGGTGACGGTGATGATAACCCCTTAATGACTCCGCCTCTTATTCCTTCCCCCACCTCCACAACACATACACGCACAAAGGTGGGCGCCCCTACCGTACCTGACGTACGGTGGGACGACATTGGCGGCCTGGAGGGCGCTAAGCGGGCTATCCTGGACACGATCGAGCTGCCCCTGCGTCACCCGCACCTCTTCACCGGGGGACTCAGGAGGAGGTCGGGGGTACTGCTGTACGGCCCGCCAGGTGTGTACGTGTGTATGTATGTGTGTGTATACACAACGCCACTGCTGGCTGTACCAGGAGGTCCGTCAGTGGGGGGACAGCGACACCACATATACATATCACTCATCACCTCTCACCACCACCAGGGGACAGCAGCCACTCCCTTACGTCCCTTACAGCTCCCCTTCCGTGCCCCGCCCGCACCAACCACTGCCGCCCCCCGTCCTCCCGTTCACCCCTCCCGTTCCACAAGCCCCGTCAAAGCCATCATCTCTCCGTCCACATCACTTCCAACATGTGCTGAAACCCGAAAACCTTCCACGACCCAAAACCCGTAAAACCCCTGATACCATCCAGGCAGTGGTAAAACCCTGCTCGCTAAGGCCGTAGCCAGTCAATGCGCGGCCACGTTTATGTCGGTGAAGGGACCTGAGCTCATCAGCATGTACATCGGCGAGAGCGAACGACAGGTGGGGAGGTGGGGAGGGAGTGGAGAGAGGGAGGGGGGAAGGTAGGGATGGTGCTGTTGTGTTTCTGTGCCTCTTTTGCCTCTTCTCCTGCTGCCTCTCTCCCCCCTCCTCACAATCCTCCGCGGACCATCCTTCAATGCTGCTGATGTTACGTTTCCCCTCGACCCACAACCCCCCTCCTCCTTTGGTACAGGTTCGCGAGGTGTTCGCCCGGGCCCGACGTGCCGCCCCGTGTGTTGTGTTTTTTGACGAGTTGGACTCCCTCGCACCCGCCCGGGGAGCATCAGGGGACTCAGGTGGGTGGGTGGAGGGATGGTTGGGGGTTACACGACCGAAAACGGCATATGGGGGTGTCGGTGTTTACCCGGAAACCCTTTGGCACGTCTAGCTACTGCTACTACTGCTCCGACGGCTGCTGCTGCTCCTGATGGTGCTGGTGCTTTCTTTTTCCTTTAAAGTACAACCTGGTGATGTGCAGAAGCTGTCTTAACAATGTCTCTCTACCGCTTTCCCCTCTCTTCCCCTTCCTTCCTCTCCACTCCACATGTGCATACATACGTGCATACATACACACGTACATATCCCCCCTAGGTGGTGTGATGGACCGGGTGGTGTCCCAGCTGCTAGCGGAAATAGACGGACTCTCAGGTGGAGGTGGAGGTGGCATCTCCGGAACCAGCCCTACTACTGCTACTGATTCCGGTGGCAGTGGTGCTGGCTGTGGTGGTGGTGGTGGTGTCGGACATGTGTTTGTGATCGGCGCCACCAACCGCCCGGACCTCCTGGACCCGGCCCTGCTGCGACCCGGTCGTCTGGACGTCCTGGTGTATGTGGGCATTGCGGAGGAGCCGGAGGCCAAAGTCAAGGTGCTCAAGGTATGCTCGGTTTGCCTGGGCCTGGGTGTGCCTGTATGGACGTATGTGTGTCTTCATGTAGCAGTGTGTCGGATATATGCTGATAAACAAATGCGCGTCGCCAAGAGCTGTGAGGAAATTCAGGAGGTAACGGAACATATCATTGTATGACGTGGAACACCAGGCGAGGGCGGGGAGACAGCTATTCTTAGCCCCAAACTTGGTTGGCAGTGGTTTAGTTTTCCTTCCTTCCTCCCTCCCGGAGTGATGATGGTGGTGGCCGTGAGGTTACGTTCACTCCTCCTCGCTCCTCTCATCTGAATGTATGTATGTTGTTACAGGGTGGTTAACTTCGCCAGCGGCCCCCTTTCCCGAGGCAGTCCCTGCTCTCCCCTGCTAGAGGGGCACCCTAATCCGTCACCCCATCCGACTTCAGAATGTATTCGTTGTGTTCGGCAACTCACCACCAGCATCCAACCAAATCTAGCGGATCAACGGCGCATCAACTTAGTTCCTGGTCAGCTCGCAAGTTGATTTTATCACGTCCTACATCGTCCATATGATGGGGGGCCACCTCCCATTTCAACACTCCTCACACACCCGAGGAGCCCGCAGGCGGATTTGAACCCGTGTCGGCCGGGAGCAGAAGTCAGGCCTTAACCTCTGCCAGCCGCCTGCCAGTAAATGTATGTCTGTCACCTCCGTGTACCGGCCTACAGCCTACCGCCCCTCCTGGCCCCCCTCCTGGGCCCTGGTTGACAACTCCCCGCTTCTTGAACCCTTTCCCCCTTCCCCCCTTCAGGCCCTCACTCGCAAGTTCCTGCTGGCTCCCGACGTGGACCTGCCCTCCCTGGCGTCATCCTGCCCGCCCACACTCACTGGGGCGGACCTCTATGCGCTGTGTGCGGATGCGTGGATGACGGCATTGCAACGACACGTAGGGCACATAGAGGGAGGAGGAGCGGTTATGGGGGAGGAGGAGAGGGAGGGGAAGGGGGATATGGCGGTTGCGACCGCGGCGGCTGTAGCACGGGAAGCAGCAGCGGCTAGTAGCGACTCGTCAACGCTTGGCTTGGGGACGCTCGGTGCGTCAGTGCGGCGAAAGCGCGCTGCCAGGGCGGCTGCGGCTGCTGCGGCAGCGGCAGAGAATGAAGCATCGAGAGAAGGGTCATCTGGACCGGCGGGTTGTGTTTCCCCCAGTGAACACCCCGGTGATGGTGATGGCGGTGATGGTTGTGGCGGTGGCCAAGTGGGTCGTGAAGCCGCTGGGGAACAACCGGAGGAGGAACCCGCCCCACGCGCCGCCGATGATGTAACAGCAGTAGCATCAACAGCGGCGGTGGGTGTCACTTCCAGCCAGTCGGCCGACGGCAACACTGCAGCCGCGCCGGCGGCAGCGGCGGCTGTTGGCAGTCCGGAACCTGTGGTACCTGCATCAGTAGCTGTAGCTGCGAACATCCACGGTGGGGACAAAGGTGGCAGTGGCAGTAGCAGTAGCGGTGTAGTGGTTCGTCAGTCTGACTTCCTTGCTGCGCTGGCAGCTCTGACTCCCTCCCTTAGTCGGTCTGAGCTGGCCAAGTACGAGGCCTTGCGGCGGCAGTACGAGGGGGAGAAGCGGAGGTGAAGCTGGTGGTGTGGTGGTGGCAGCGGCTGTCTTAGGGGATGGAAGACCAAGGAAGCGGTTAGTTCGTTGGCGGTTTAGTTAGCCAGACGGGGGCGGAAGGGGGTTGGGAGAGGGGGCCCCGGCAAAAGCTCAGGACGCGCGACAGCAGCAGCAGTTGGAGCAGCAGTATCAGGGGAGTACAGTTTTTAAGGTCTAACGCTACCGTTGTTGGCACGTAGGTAGGTAGGCAGGTAGGTCAGAATTGCATGGATGTGTGCATGTCGCATGGCTTTTAGAGGAGCGGCATGATGCAGAGAGAGCGCATTGTTAGAATACGCGCGTCCACAAGGGGGAAGAGGCTCTCTTTGGTGTCCACCCAACCATCCACTCGGGGAGCACCGCTCTGCTCGGGTGGCACCCCATTGTGTGGAGTTACCAACTCTGTCGACGTGGTCGTGAGTACACATCCTCCGGTGGTTACACATGACTAACTAGCAGTTGGCAATACCGGTGCTTTCCTCGTGCGTTGCATAACTAAACGTTTTGGCGTGTTCACAAACCAGCTGGGCCGGGCTTGATCCAACTTGCATGCATCTTTTCTGTACACGCGCACACACCGACGTTACCTCGATGACGTTCTAGAGGGTTTCCCCGGTTCGAGGTGTACCCCCTACGTTTGCCGGCACCTCACTCGAGCACCTCTCCGTAGTAACTAACCCCCGAGGTGCCTTGAGGCTGGCGGCTGGCGCTTCGGGGACCTCGGGAGCGGCAGCGGTAATATAATACCCTCGGCAGCAGTACTAGTACCAGTGGAGTAACTCGCCAGGTGCACTGGGAAGGAGGCCTCTCTGTGAGTGCTGTGTTGTTGGACATCTGGATAGCTGTCTTAGTGCCGCCCGATGCACAGTACCGCCATCCCGGGGGGGGGGGAAGAGAACGAGAAGCTTCCCTGCGTCATCCACGTTCATAAAAGTAATAGATAATTTGGACTTCAGGTTGCCGTGACAGCATGTGTCGTACCGCGGCTTAGCCTTACTGCTCCGGATTAGAGCTGAGCGCCATTTGAAGTCAAATGACGTCACGCACACCTATGGCCCAGGGCCCACTGGCTCGTGAGGGGAGAACCGTGTGTGGCTGCTGGCAGCAGGGGGTGGTGCCACTTTTTCTTGTGGTCGTGTTTCCGCTGCGGCCACAATTTGTTTTTCGGAAGCGAGTCCATGGCACCGGTAAGCCCTGTGCCATTCGGGTTGCCACACCCGTACACTAAATGTGGGGGATAGCGGGTGGGCGGGTTTGGCGGTGCATCGCGTCCTTTTTGGCTCCTGTGGCATGAACAGAACAACCGTAATGCAGGGACTGAAGTCCCAGTCTTTGCGGGGACTGAGAAGGTGTTGTTACGGCAACAAAACAGATGCTTTGGCTCTGCAGCTCCTGACCTCGGTTCGCCTAATCTCGGTTTGCCGAGTGGTGATTTGTGGAAAAAGGAGTCGACGGCTCGAACTTAGGAACGATGTGCAGTTAACCGGCCTTGTCCGACAAGTGTTGGCAAAACCTTACCGTAACCCACTAAATACAAAATAACATGCAGACTCCCACGTGTGACTTGGAGAGGGCCTTCTGGCAAGCGAGTTAACTAGCTGAAGATAGCCTGTATGTAGTCCCACCAGCCATTTGTTTACAGACCATGGCGTATCACTGGTGTTTCAAGTTCTGCAAGAAGCACTTGAACGTGCTTCAACATCAAAGGCTGCCCAAGCAAAACAGAGAGAACAAGCTGCTGAGCCCCGTGAGCATCCTGTGAATTAAACCTAGTACTTTTATTCTCCAAAGGTAAATGCAAAGGTACGCGATGCCGGTCGTGCATCCTACTTGCTGCAAAGCCAGTGAGCTAAGTGCAACTGCAGAACTTGCGCGACTGTAATGCAAAAGGTCTGCTAGAAATATACATCAATTAATGTAAGGACAATTATAAGAGATTGCTGAAGATGACATAGTTCTCATCGTAGCTGGTACCCAGCGATGCACGTCGACCGTTTGCGTGTCGTCGCCGTTCTCATCATACCGAAACTGACAGTCGTAACCTGAACAACACAAAACAACGCACCTGCTGCTACAGCCATACACCACATACATTAGCCTTGTCGTCCTTTCCTTCAGGGCTTTTGAACTGACGTCCTGGGCCGTTTGACAGGCCCCGTGAAGTTGCCGATGCGGTGACCATGTTCTCTTTTGGTTCAAAGGTCAAGCAAAAGCTTACAGCAACCCGCTTTGAGTTTTCTTTCGTCGTGCACAACCTTGCACCATGGCCCGAGGGAGCTCGCGCAATTGCAATCGGATATCAGCGAGGCAAGCGCCGGAGGGGAGCCACACGCTCCGTCTATCCTTCCAGACAGCCAGGCCGCTTGGGTGCTGTGGTGCGCTTCAACGAGCGGTTCGATATGCCAGTTACTCTGTACAAGGTGGGCCCGGCCAACCCAGTAGTGTCTACCAGCTGCCAGAACCCAGCATCGCCCTACTCTACGTGGAATTCCCTAATGGGACCTATTGATGCTGATGTAGGCTGGCGGTGGTAATACTGCTACGAACAGCGGGCTTGGTCCTTTCAAAAAGAAGTGTCTGATCCTTGCCGTGTTGGAGACCGATGGGCGTACCCAAGCAACAGCTGCGCTGGGTCGCGTTGTCATTGACCTGTCCGAGTATGCAGCCGTTGAGCATCAGGAGACGCGCACTTTCATGGTATCTTGCAACAAGGCAGTCCACGCTGCGGTTGGCGACCCCCAGCTTATGGTCACCATCAGGTATTTCCCTGCGTAATTACTTAAATGGTTGCTCAGCCGGCACTGGCGTGCTGGCTTTGTGCGACGACCGCCGGTCGCCTTGCACCCAAAATGAAAGCATTACGCCTGGTTCTTCCCTTGTTCGCATGTCAGATGTCGATGGAAAAAGTTATCTGGGGGAACTGGGGCAGCGGGAGCCAACTTGCCGGATGAGACTGCTTCCATGAGCACGGACACAACAGGTGCGAGAACGGAGGATGTTCTCTTGGGGAGAGGTTTCTCAAACTAAACAGAACTGGAACTAAGCGTAATTGGTACAGGTTTAGGAACCGGATAAAGGGTCGTGTGATGCAGGGTGTGCGCCCCAGGGTACGGTGAGCTCTGCTCGATGTTGCAGAAGCCGGCCGGCA